CCAACATTGGAGGTTGTTAAAGAAGAGATTGGACAGTCATTTGTTCAGAATGATACATGGTCTCCTGCTTGATCAGGGGATTGGATTAAAAGACCTCCAAGGTACCTTCCAACTATGTTATTCTGTAGTCTTAGCCAGTTCCAGTAGGAAAGGCGATAAACTGGCATGTTGTGCAATAATGTGTTGTTGCATAGACAGCTTAAATCCTTGTATCCTGCATTTTGGATAATAGAAAACAGATATGTTGCAGTTTGTCTGATCCTTCTTAAAATGTAATACCTGGAATTGGACATAGTGCCTGGGATGGGGTCTGACCAATATAAAATAAAATAGAACTACTTCTTCCTATCTTTGGAAGCTATACCTCAATAGTGCAACTTAAAATTGCATTTGGCTATTTTAGCCATATTGCTGCTGATCCATACGTAGCTTGTAATCAACTACTACTATTAGCAATTTTTTTACACATTTTATTACTTTAGCCAAGTACTGCTCTTCCTATAAATGTGCATTTGATTTTTCCCCATTACATTTGACTCTGTTAAATTTAATTGTTACATTTAGCCAATTATAATTTTAAATCTTACTTGTGTTTTTAGAATATTAGCTGTTCCATCCAGTTTTGCACCATCTGATGAGCCTTTAATCTACCTCTTTCTCTGAATCCTTATAGAAAGTGTTGAAGAGTACTTGGCTCAGAACCAAAATCCATGTCATCTCACTCCAGATTAAAGGGAAACCACTTTTCAACAACTTAAGTATGATTTTTAAGCTACTTATGGATCTATCCAATTTATATGCTATCCAGGTAATATTTAATTATTTTGTTAATAAAAATGTTGCTATATGGTATAATGTTTTGCTGATGTCTACACTAGTCCCAGATCCTACTACGGAAATTATCTGATGAAAAATGTAATAAGATTAGCCTGACGCGACCTGTTCTTGACAAATCCACCACAGATACTAGCTATTATTGGATTATTTTCAAGTTGTTTACAAACCAACCACTTTCTAATTTATTCTGTAGATCCCTAGATCCTTCTTACTTCGCTTTTTGAAGAATAGCCTTTGTAATCCTCTAGTTATCTAGTATGTCACCAATTCCTGAGTTTTTCTTAGGTGGATTGGATCAGCAAGACTGAAGCTGTTGGAGATGTGAATTCCTTCAAGGGCAATACATATTCCCTGACTGTATTTCTATCAAACGCAGGCTACAATTCCTCTCTCCCACCAACACCTCATAACTGCTCCATGGAACACATATCCTCTTTTGAGGTCTTTTCATAGAAGGGTGAGGATCTCACTGTTAGAATGTAAAGACTGTCTGAAAATTAAACTTGGGGAGCATGAGGCTTCAGCTTACTGGAAACAAACAGAAAGTTCATTTGAAAATAAATGAAACAACCCCCCACCCCCAGCTAATTCTAAAGGATAGATCAAAGCCTGGTATCAAGTAGCTTTTCTCTTCTTAATCAGTTTGTACACCATATGCACATTCTACTTGGTGTCTAACTCTGAAAAATGCATCATGACATGACAGAATTAGACAACTGGTGCACCTGGTTTTTATATTCTCAAAAGTGATACATATACTACTAAACTGTTCTCTAAAAAGGAAGTAGCTATAATATTATTACTGTGGGTAGTGATTTCCTTTTTCAGTTGTGTTCCTTTGTACATATCACTGCAACCCCTAGTTGTTTACTTCTGAAAAAGCCAAAATAAAGCAAGTATGGGTTGGCCAATTTAGATTTGTTTGTAGCTTTATTTATACTGGTACATGCTGTACATACACACATACACACACATACACACCAGAGGTGATATTCAGCAGGTTCTAACCTGTTCTGGAGAACCGTTAGCGGAAATTTTGAGTAGTTCGGAGAACTGGCAAATACCACCTCTGACTGGAGATTTTACAGTGTCCTTCCCCTGCCATGCCCACCAAGCCATGCCCACAGAACCGGTAGTAAAAAAATTTGAATCCTACCACTGACACACAAACACACAAACAAACACACACACACACACACACACACACACACACACACACACACACACACACACACACAGACTACTTCAATTTGGATGACTCTGGGCAAACCAATACAAAATGAATATTTCCATACCTTAAAAACAACTATCAAGATTATAATAATATTTTTAGAGGGTTGGGTGGAACACACAAAGCAGACTAGAAATGAGTAGTAAACTACAAACCAATCATGTTTTCTCATTTGTTAAGTTACAGTTTCAACCAGAAAGCCAACGTTTTCAGATTGCATGTTAGTTCCCTAAAAAAACCCTCAAGGTTTATTCGTTGAACAATATACCAAGTAAAAAAGCAATACCACTTAGCTAAATTCAGTCATTTTACAATGTAGCTAAACCATGTCACTGTTCAAAAAACTTGTGACAAAAGGCCTGTCCACATTCTACCTTCTTTTATCTTCACTGGGAGAATCCTATCTATGCAACCAATATTTTGCCTCCAGGTGCCTTTAAACATTTGCAATAACTGGCATAATGAATCAGCAGCTGCTCAAACTACCTGTGGTGGGGCAGAGAATTTCAGTACAATACTGAATTAAGATCTTTGTGGGGGAAAAAATGCTACAAAGAAATGGGGATGTCAGGCTGTGCTTCCTTGAAAATAGCCAAAATCAATTACAGGTAGTCCTTGACTTACAACAGTTCATTTAGTGACCGTTTGAAGTTACAACGTAATTGAAAAAAGTGACTTATGGCCGTTTTTCACACTTACAATCACTGAGGCATTCCCATAATCATGTGATCAAAATTTGGATGCTTGGCAACTGCTTTATTTTTATGACAGTTGCAGTGTCCCGGATCCATGTGATCACCTTTTGGGAATTTCTGACAAGTAAAGTCAATGGGGAAGCGAGATTCACCTAAAAACCATGTTGCTAATTTAAGCTCTTCAATGATTCAATTTAACAACGATGGCAAGAAAGTTCGTAAAATGGGGCCAAATTTACTTAACAACTGTTTCACTTAGCAATGGAAATTTTGGGCTCAATTGTGCTCGCAAGTCGAGGACTATCTGTAGTGTGATATTTTTTTATCCTTCAGCTAATTTTTTTTTTTTAAAAAATTCAGTTAATTAGTGCTTGTGGATATGTAACAAAGTAGGATTGCATTATCACAAGGGCAGGTTCTCTGGCTTTGAATCAAGCATTTCAGGCAGCAGAAGATACAAAACTTATTTTATAGAAGACCATTTCAAGAGTAGTTAGAATCTCAAAAAAGTTAATTCAGTAACCATATAATAACTCTACAAAGTCTTGGATTTAGTCTAAACATGCAACTTGGATTGCATTTTTGGGACTGCTGCTTGGATTGCAGTCTTGGGTTTAATCTAAAAATGCAATTTACCTTTCAATTCTATGGTTTAGATCATGTGACATATCACAATTCCCCCCCCCCCATTCGCTAAACCAGGTGTGGGCGTGGCCAGCGCGTGATGCATCTGGGCTGGCCCACGGGCTGCAAGATTGACAGCCTTGGTATAGATTGATGTTTCTCAACCCTGGCAACTTTAAGACAAATGGACTTTAATTCCCAGGAAAACTTATTAGATGAAATGAACTGAGGATATCCAGTCCCTCACTTTGCCCTCTTTGCTGCTAAGTCATCCAATATTTCAAAGAGGGAAGAGAGTCAGGCTGAAACAGTACAGAAGCAGTTAAAGTCTCCCAATCCCCAAACTCTGGGGATAAGCAAGTATAATCCTTACATGGTCTCTTATTAGAGATTAAGCCTCTGATTAGGCTGGAATTTCATTTGCACCCTTGAAGCAAAGTGCATGTCCAAGTCAGGAACCACAGCAACTTTCCAGCTCTACTTAAGCTCCTTTTGATAATTACAGCTATGTACCTACCACTGGAAGCACTGTGACACCACCTGGCACCAAGCCCATGTTATTTCTAAGAAAACTGACGCTGTTGAACAGCTATAGTAGAAATCCATCTACTAGCAGCTGCAGGGCAAACAAAACCCAACCTCTGCACATTTATTGTCGAAAACCACTATTTACTTTCTTATCCTTGTTAATTCTAAAAGGAACTGAAATCTGTGCCAGCTTGTACCAAGAGAATAACATGTCATATAAAATGACAAAACATTATTATTACCTGCCTGCAAATTTATGACACAAATACTAAGTCTTGGAGAGTTGTAGTTAAACTATTAAGGTTTTCCTTGTTAGAAACTCCCCTCAAGGGACATCCAATGGTGTTGGGAATGTCACCACTTATAGGCTGCCATGTTAATATATCTTATGAAAGGCATCTGTAATCTTTTGCCAAAAGTGCATTAGATGTTATGGTACACATTGTAATGAAAGAAGACAGGTTGTTCTTTAACAATACACTTTGGCAACGAACCCCATCTCGTGCAAGAAGAAATGGCAATTCCATTTGTGTCCTTAAGACAGGGTCAGCATTTGTGGTATCACTTTGCAGATCATTGGCACAAGGTTGAGGAAATGAATGTTACCAGAAGGAAGAAAACAGAAGAACGCAGTTCAGCGATACAGGCAGCATGTACCAGTGGAAAGTTATATTTGGATCCAGCTCTAAATAAGCAATGAAACTATTGGGTAAATTTTTAAATAATGCAAACAGCTGAATACAACAGAGTGCTTTTTTCATTTAAAAATAATGCACTGGACAAAAGCAACATGCTATTTTACAATAGTATTTATCAAAAGGAATACTAAGCAGCAAAATTCAATACTGATACACTTTGAAGCTTCCCTCTGATATGCACTAATTACTGATACATGCACAATTGGTTCTTTTGTTCAGCAAATTCAATTCCTGCTTCTTAGTACATGATTTACAGATCAAAAACTCTAAATAGGCAAATACTTAAATAGCGATTAGGGGACAATGGAAAGGAAAGGAAAAATAACCTCTAGGTTTCTCCTTATGATTAAAAAATGTTTCAGTATCTCATGTTTCTGTAAAAGTATTTTATTCAGTATTCATAGTATTTTATTTTTAACTCTTGAATTGAGGAATGTATAAAGCGATTATAAAATAAAAGAACAATAGCAATTACACATTGGATATAAATGCTATGTCTCTTACATAACAACTGGAATAATCACAAAATAACTTGAAAATTTGAAAACTTAAATCATCCTCAGCAAAATGCAAGTTAGCAGATGTTATCAAGAGACATCTGGCTTTCTGAGAACATACCCTTAGAAAGCACTGTAAACACTCCCAGGGTTGGGATACAGAACTCGTCATGATTCTTGGTGATCTTCTTTCCTACGTTTTTGAATATGCAGAAACCTTGGCCTGGATAGAAATAAGACAAATCACAACATTAAATCTTACTAAAGAGTATAGAAGTTAAAAAGGGAGCTTTGTAAAAGTTTAAAAGTCTAGCACATTTTACAGAATGAGCTTTCTTGGAGTTTATTTGATGTTGAAAGTTTTATGATCCCTTAATAATATGCAAGAGTGGTTTTTAACTAAGAGCTGTGGGTTACAAAGAGTTCATTTTAAATGCGCTAGTATAGGATTGTTTGTATCCGGAGACAAAGGTGTTAATTAATTTTTTCATGCTGTAAATACATTTCCAAGCTCTTCTTAAATTTCACGAGAGTCATTTTACTACTCCAGGTGTTCAATGAAAAGAATAAAATACAATATTTGGCTCAACTTCTGCATAATATACAAATAAACTGAAACAGGTTCAACCACATTTCACCATATTCTATGCAGAAAGCAACACCTCTTTTCAAAGTTTCCTATGCTAAGTGAATCACTGCAGATGTTAAATTAGTGACATGGTTGTTAAGTGGCTGTGATGTCCCCATTGACTTTGCTTGTCAGAAGGTCGCAAAAGGGGATCGCATGATTTTGGGACACTGCAACCGTTGTAAATATGAGTCAGCTGCCAAGCAAGTGAATTTTGATCATGTGACCATGGGGATGCTGCAACAATTGTGAGTGTGAAAAATGGTCATAAATCACATTTTTCAGTGCTGTTGTAACTTTGAACAACCACTAAACAAACTGTTGTAAGTTGAGGACTACCTTTACGGTGGGTTGCCTATAGAACTTGGTACATGAGTTCTATAAGAAGCTTGCTGCATAAAGAAAGAAGAAAAATGAAAATCTAGGAATCCTCTAACTCTTACTTTCCATAGATGTCCTTGTGTGTAGCAGATACAAAGAGGAACAAATCCGGATGACTGGACAGCCAATTGGTTACCATTTTGGGGTGCCTGGGGTCAACCTCCAAATACACACTCCTGAAAGAAGAAAAAAACAACCATCTTGATTAAAACTTGCTTTAATGAAAAATACACAAATTAGCATGCTATGAATGTGGAGTTTTACAAATGTAAAAACATATTGGGGTGGTTTTTGCAACAATTCAAAGACATCAGACTTCCAATTTAACCAAGAGCCATGGTGGAATGTGCTGAAATGAGTAAATTGACATTTGAAATTAGAGAACAAGAAGATAAACAATTTTATAAGATTTGGGATCTATTTTATCAATGGCTAGAAAATAAAATAAGGTAATGAAATATGTAGAATTTCACAATATAAGGAGAATAGAATTATATATAATATAATATAAAGATGTATTATTATTGGATGGTCTCAGCTACTCTTCAGCACAAATGCAGGGAGAAAATAAGACACTCTTCGTTTCAGTATTTCGTAACACAAAAGCTTATTTTTTATTCCTTCCTCCGCAAGGAGTCCGAGATGATAGCTAAGCAACCAAAATAAAGTTGGATCTAACCCGAGTTTCCTGGGACTCGATATTTATAATGATTTCCCCTCATTACCCTTCATTACCCCTGATTACCCTTATTACCCATGATTACCGTTTTTAATCATAATTATTCATATGAACTGAATCACATGAATCGTGATTAATGCATAGAGTTTCACCTCACAGCATTTTACATAGACCGCACATATAATTATGATGCAGAGTTTATTCTGATGAAGAGGAATGCCATCCTTCAGGTCGCTGTGGCTTCGATGCAAACGCGTGTGTTGCGTAGTTGCGACAGATGGATTTAGGATGATAATATGAATTGTTATAATACAAATCAATTTAAAAATATGGAATATCTCGCATAACATGAAGGAACAATAGTACAGTCAAATGAATGATTAGCAATGATAATAATGTATTCAGAAATATTTGATTGATAATATGAGAATATATACAAATAATTTTAAGTGAGGACTATGGAGAGGAACCACAAAAAATTTGTAACCAACCGACACACTGTATGTACATAATTGGAAGATGGCTTTATGTTTTTATGTTTTGTTTGTGTATGTTTGTCTAAAAAATAAAAAAAATAAAAAACAAGAAACAAAAACCAAGAGCCAGTGGTTCAGTGGTTAGAATGCAGTACTGCAAGCTACGGCAGTTCGATTCTCACCGGCTTGAGGTTGACTCAGCCTTCCGTTCTTCCAAGGTCAGTAAAATGAGGGCCCAGAATGTTGGGGGCAATATGCTGACTCTGTAAACCACTTAGAGAGGGCTGTAAAAGCACTGTGAAACGGCATATAAGTCTAAGTGTTATTATTATTATATTTATGGTTTGCTTTTGGCAGCTTTTTGATTTTATTATGCGCATGAGTTAAATGAAAAATTGGATAAATGCTGATGCAATCATATGCCCCTTAGGTAGAGGTCTCACAGATCAGACCCTAGGTTATGAGAAAGAAATCTCCCAGATCATCATGCAGTAGATCCTATATTCTTGTAGAAAAAAATCCATTTAATGCAGTAAAATCCATTGTTATTCATCTCTTTCTTTTATCTGAGGAAAATAAACTCTATTTCCTTTATTATATAAACTGATGAATATTTATAAGAATAGTACTAGTTCAAAGTTTGATGAGGTCTGACCGTCAGAGGGGTAGCTTTTACCCAAGCGACTTCCCCATTTTCTTGTGCCAGCTCCTCCCTTCCATCAAAGCAATTCAAGCATTTTTACTGTAATTCATTTCCTCACTTATAGAAATGTCTTTTGTGAACGTGGATTATGCAGTCACATCACTGTAAGTTTTTCAGTTTTTGGTTTTTCCAGTTTTCCAGTTTCTTTTATTTTTCTTGTTGCATATATTGATTTATTTTTGGATTGTAAGACACCAGAGATTTCCCTGGAGACCTCATTAGCTCATCCCCTTTTATCATTCTATCATTTAGAATCGTGTGCATCTTCTCAGGTCTTTTTGTTCAGCAGTTTATTCTGCACGAATGCTTTACTGATATCCCATACTATTTTATCATCAGTACACATTGAAATTATTCTCAAAAAAATTAAGTCTCCTTTTACATTTTCCCACTATCAATTTACATTGTAGTATATTTCATTTGATCTCCATCTATAAGTCCCATCTATAAATCTTCTTGTATATTCAAGTCACTAAATTATGGACAGAGAACATTTTTGGCAATATTTCAACTTCATTAACACAAGTGGCCAAATTTTGATTCTATTCTGGAGAAAGATGTATGCCTTTCTGAAAAATACGTATATTCTTTAGAATCAGCACTTTTATGTCTCCATATATTAATTAATTCAAGATTAGTCATCATTTTGAAATGTAATTTTGGTAGTTTATGCTGCACCATTTAAATTCCCTTCACTGATGCTCTATTTTGTTGTGGGCAAGCTACTCAATCCCAGTCTCACACTAGGCGCCAGTTTACATATGACAGCCCCATTAATTTTCATTCAAGTCCATTGAAAAATGCAGCTTTATTTTTGTTTGGAGCATAAATTCCCACTAAAAGGATCTTACTTGTATTTAAATGGTACAGGTAGTCCTTGACTTACAGCAGTTTGTTTAGTAACTGTTCAAAGTTACAACGGCATTGAAAAAGTGACTTATGACTATCTTACACCACTTAAGACCATTGCAGCATCATATGAACAAAATTTGGATGCTTGGCAATTGGTTCCTATTTATGATGGTTGCAGTGTCCTGGGTGTTGGGCTCCGAGTTCGCTACAGAGCCCATCAGCTCCGAACACGCCTTGCAGCAAGTCAGCTGGCAGTGGAGAATGTCACCTTATCTCTGCTGCTACCGGATCTGTATTTCTGTTTGCATGCTGGCCGATGGTGTGAGGGTCACTTTGGAATGACTCGGCAGAGCTTCAGCTACAGGATGGATTCTGAAGCAACTGCGGGACTGCAGGATAGAGTCTGAAGCAACTGCAGGACTGCAGGGTGGATTCTGAAACAACTGAGGGGCTGCAGGATGGAGTCTGAAACTGCAGGGCTGCAGGATGGAGTCTGAAGCAACTGTGGGGCTGCAGGATGGATTCTGAAACAACTGCAAGGCTGCAGGATGGAGTCTGAAGCAACTGCGGGACTGCAGGATGGAGTCTGAAGCAACTGCGGGACTGCAGGATGGAGTCTGAAGCAACTGTGGGGCTGCAGGATGGAGTCTGAAGCAACTGTGGGGCTGCAGGATGGATTCTGAAACAACTGCAGGGCTGGAAATGGCTCCTTTCATGTATTGATGTGGTGCATATTGCTAGAGGGGGTTGGGGCACATAGAGGTGGTAATTAAGCTTTAGGTTAAAACATGGTGAAGGTGACACCAGGTAGGGATCAGTTAGAGAGGGTCGGAGGTTAGTAGGTTAGGGATGTAGACATGTTATAGGGTTAATAGCATTTAGGGCTAATGGGTTAGGCATGGCCAGAACTAGAACTGCGTATAGGCCTGGGTGTGGTGTTGTGTGTTTCATGATATTGGTAATAAAAGGAAAGGGAGTAAACTCAAACCCAACACTAACCTTGCCTGGCCTTTAGCCTTTCTTGTCAGATAGGAGTATTTGTTGTTTGCTGATCTAATGAATAAACCATCATTGTACAACAAAGGAGCTGGAGTTTGTATTCATTTCAGGACAAATCTTTAATACTGAAGGACTGGCTGAGACTGGGGTCATGTGATCCCCTTTGTGACCTTCTGAAAAGCAAAGTCAATGGGGAAGCCAGATTTGCTTACCAACCATGTTCCTAACTTAACTGCCATGACTCACTTAACAAATGTTGCAAAAAGGTCATAAAATAGGGCTAAATTTACTTAACAAATGTCTCACTAAGCAACATAAATTTTGGGATCAATTGTGATCGTAAGTTGAGGACTACCTGTACATTCTTATTTCTGAGGGCTATCCAAAATTTTGTAGTCTACAAAGTGAAAAGCCTTAAAACATAAGCTATTGTTTTTTTTGGGGGGGGGAATCCTCTTGATTCCCCCCCCTCCAATGCTACCAATATATTCTCAGGTGCCCCTGTCTCTTTTGAAACTGGTTTGTACATCTGGCAAAGTTCTTGTTCCATGTGTTGTTGAAGTATGGGTTAGAAAATCATGATTATTATTATACTAGTATAGGAGATAAATGAAAGTGCTTTGTAGTTAAAGCACCCTTCAGCTCCAGTTTTTCTAGTATTGGAATATAAAATTCATCCTTGTAATGAGTTATCTATAATTGCCTACAAACGGCTTACAAAAATTGACTGCATCAACTATAAATTCAGCTGGCATTTCATCAATTCTCGCAACGTTGTTGTTAGCAATTATTTTCCTGGAAATAATTTAATTTTACTTTTCAGAATGTCTGCTCTAATTCAAAGATCAAGCCTTAGAACCAATGGCCACTCCAAGCTGTGCACCTGTGTGGCAGCAAGCAACCATTGCACAAGAATCTGTCACCTGCTCACTGAGATGATCCACCAGCAAAGGAAGGGGAGAGAGATAGAGAGAGACCCAGAGAAAGAGGGAGGAACAGGACAGGGAAACTTTTTGCCCAGCCCTTGGGAACTGGGTGGAAGCATGCAGACCTTCTGTTGACCTCCAGGCAAAGAAGGGATTCAGCTGTAGCAGGAAGAGGATAAAGTTCTTGCCTAGGACTTAAGCTGAACCCAACGCTGCAATAGATCAATAGTTTAATGCAGGAGTCTCCAAACTTGGCAACTTTAAGACTTGTGGACTTCAACTCCCAGAATTGCCCAGCCAGCATGACTAGCTGAGGAATTCTGGGAATTGAAGTCCACAAATCTGAAAGTTGCCAAGTTTGTAGACCCCTGGTGTAATGTCAAACCATGTAGTTCAAAGATTGGTGCAAGCCTATTACAATATTAAGACAACTGAAAAGTGGCAGGACGTTTTAAGTTATCAGGGCTTCCTGGCATAAATGAATTTTTTGAAACTAAGGACATTTTAAACACCTACCTGAGCTGGTTCACTAAATATTTTCTTATATTTTCTTATACTGAAACTGGAGATGTGGTATGCCTTCAAGTGCAGAAGTCAAAGTTTGTTATGATTTTGCTGATGGAAAGCTGTGAAATTCATAGCAGACTGAGCACCCATATACGTAGATACTCAGTCAAAAAGCCCATCTTTTTGCACCCCAAGCAAATTATGAAGAATTCCAGAAGGCAGTGGAATAAATCACTTAAGAATGGAATCAAAACTAATAGGAAACTAATAGCCTGAGTTGCAGCCTATGATGTAGTCCCATATAGACCATTCAACAAAGGTAGGTGGATGTTAAGTCATTTTGCAACGAAAGAATGAATTAAAAATTACAAAACACTAGTTCAATATTTCTCAAAGGGAGTTGAGGATAGAAATTAACTTGCAGCCAAGTACTGTTTGACAATATTGCAGAACCCATAATGGTCTGTTTTTTAATGGAGCTACATGTGCCATTTGAGATTTTTGAGCTTACTAAGGCCAAGATAGGAAAGCTGAAAGCCAATATTTGGGATACTTTGCTCGCTTCAGCCCTGAAGTGATTTTTTTTTTTTTGCAAGTATGGTAACCAAAATAAATAATGATAACATGCCACAGTATTGAACCATCTGGCAGGCAAATTTCCCAGATGGTAAAATGGATTGCATTTGAAATATTAATCTTGCAACAGGATAGTATTTTTGGCAATGAAGAAATTCAGTATCTGGTTTGGAGCTACTCAAACATTCTCATAAAACAAATTTCATAAAACAAATTTCTGCTATAAGAAAGACTTACAGTAAGTAGCAAAAATAAATATAATGAAAAAGATTTAGCTATTAAACTGAAACCTGGCTTAGCTTTCACATTGAAGCCTGTAATATGGCACACAGATTTAGTAATTGAAAAAGAAATGTGAACTTTGTACAATTGATGATACAGATCACAATGTAAGTGATTGATTTTAGGATGCAATTTTTTTTATTTCCTGTACAATGAAACTTTAACTTACTTGTACACAGAAATTGTTATCTATTTCAGTTACTTTTTAACATTGTTTTGATGTGTATGTATTGTACACATAACATAGTATATTGTTTTCATTTGGATAAAAACATGTAACATTTCAAGTGTTAAATAATTTCAAATTTTACATTTTATATATGTAAAGTATATTATGTGCTATTTTTGAAAATACTTTAGCAAGGACAAAGGAACCACAAAATGCACAGTGATAATGACTTAATCATTTTGTATCCAAACTCATGCCTAAGCTTACTCATAATATTTTGCAGTCCGCAAAATAAACTGACAACAACAAAAAAACTAAAACGACATAAAAATTATCCTGTTTTTCACCCTAAACATTGAATCAACCAGGCTCAGTTAAAGTTACATATGGAAGAAGTTCACGTTAGCGAGAGAAGGAAATTTTTTCTCTCCGTGTTGCTGACTTCTCTATCTTAGGAAGAGAACTACGAGAAAGAATTCATTTTTTGAAGAAATTAAGACCTTGGAAAATGATAGTTAATGACTCAGGTTACAAATGAAAGTTCTCTCAAAGTTCTTTCCTTTAAACTGGTCTTCTAAGAGAGCAGGAAAAATTTTCTAACCAGCTTTTACTCTGTTTTAGAACAGCCCCCCCCCCCCCCCAAACTCCCAGTCCATGGACTGGTATCGGTCTGCGGCATGCCAACAACTGGGCCATGCAAACAAGCAAAGCCGCATCTGCAGGATGCAAGAAGCACACAAAGCCATGTTCCTCTGGTCCATGAAAAAACCTTTCTCCACGGAACCAGTCCCTGATGCCCAAAAAGATTGGGAGCCACTGCTTTAGAAGAAGCACTGTTTTTTCCCTTCAATGGAAATTTATTTGAAATTTGCAGTCTTATTCCAAGCTTGATAAGAATTTTCTGCGTTGTGTTCTGTGTTTTTTTTTTTTGCAAATTCCCTTCTGTTCTTCTTTATATAGCATATACTAGAATACTATAAATGGGCTGAAATATAGCAAGCATTTTGCCTGCTGGCTTGAACAGAGTTTTACTTGTAAACAATGAAACCACCTAGAATTTCTTATCTCCCAACCTGTTTTCTACAGAGCAGCAGAGCAAGGTTTTCTGGTAAACAGGTGTGTCCATAATTACAGAAGGAGACACCAAAGCCAAAGCACAGGATGATACCCAGAGAAGCAGCCTTTATCTTCCCCAAAGGAGCTCTCGCAAATTGCCATAATTGTTTCTGAACATAGTCCAAAAACATAGAATACTTCCATCCCATAGTTTGTCCTCTTTCAATGTTTCATTTATAATTCCATCTTTTCCACTGTAATTTTCTTCAATTATATAATTCTTAAATCTCAAAGATCCAGAAGCATTCTTGGAAACAGCAGTTTCAGTCAATATTATTGGTAGTTAAAGGCTATGTGAGAAGAAAGTTTTTTATTCTTATAATTTCACATTTTTAAAATTGCCCAAATTCTCAATAACTCCAGGCAATCTACAAATTGAAAACCAAAGAAACAGAACAATAGTCAACAGAAAAGCAAGATGGTCAACCTGCTGGAACAGACATAAGAATCCCTCACAAAAAGAATCTTGTCCCAGCCTAAAGTCTAGGGGGAAAGCCTGTTTCCTGGGTCTCATCAGATGACATTGTTTAATGAACAGGACCCAGGACATGCTGACTCCATTTAATCTTGTAGGATGGGCAGAAACAAAAACAATGAGAGAGGGATGGTCCCTCAAATAACTAACCTATGTAGGCAATAACTAGACTTTAAATTACACTCATAGGTCTATCAGTAACCAGTGTAGGTTGCACATTCTGTTGGTGATAATTTTCACACTATGTAGGTTGCACAGAATAATACTTCTCAGAACAAAAACAATGAATATAATTTAATAGTTAGTTCGTCCAAGATACATGGTAATGCATGCTTGTAAATAAGAATGGAAGGCAGGGGAATAACAACCTGTATGTATGTATGTAGGCGTGCATGCATGCATGTAGGTATGTACATACATATGTTTTAATTTATAATACACCTTCCTCCTACAACAACAATAACCTGGCTAAGGTGGGACTTAAACTTACAATCTCTTGCTTTCTAGTCATTAAACTGGCTCTCATATATGACTCTATATGATCTGCCAGTAAACATGTTTTTCCCTTCTCCTTTCCTACTCAAAAGATGAAGGGGAGGGGACAGAATTTTACTCAGAATAAAAAAAATAGTTTCATTCTCTATCTCTCTTCTTTCTGATTTGAAAATTACTAAATAGGAAAACAAAATCCAGATAAGTCAAATTTCTTGGACATGTGGGAACCTTTTCAATTATGGAAGTGTGCTAGAAAACCTTCCCATTCCAACACTCCACAGAAGCTTGTCAGAGGCATCCTCATAAGTGGATGTCATATCTCACCCATTCAAAAAATGATTACCATGGTGATCAAGAACAGTAACAGAATAATCATTTATGAAAAAACATTGATGCATATTCCTCAATGTTGAAGTTTGAAGGTTCTGCACAGTATCTTAGCTATTTCCAGCACTGCCCTCTTCTGCACAGAGAGGTCTAATGTTGTTCCTGGAATCTATTAAAGCTACTCTCCCAGCTTAACAGTTACATCCCCAACTGCTCCTACCATCACTGGAGTCACTTTGGCCTTTACTTCTCACATCCTCTCTAGCTCCTGGTACATTTCCTGCTTCTCATACTCTTTCCAGATGTTGCTGTCTCTTGGCACCGCTAGATCTACCACCAGCATTGTCTTCTGGCCCTTGTCTATTATCATGATATCTGATTGATTGGCTAGTCCCTTCTTCTCATTTTACACCACTAATGTGTTGGAGTGTCTCTGAGGCCTTTCTGTATAGTTTGCCCCTTGGGTCCTGTCTGGTGTGGTAGACTCCCACTTCTATGGCTCTGATATCAGGTGTAGGAAACCAGAAGCCAGATTAGAGTTCAAAAGCACTACAAGTTTATTTCATTCACAAGAATCTGATCAAGACAAATTGGTGCCAGTTAAGAATCAAGAGGCTTCAAGGGGTTGGGGGTAGATTTAGGTCTTTTATGGGGACATAGCAACTCCAAAATGATATGTCAAGCTCAGCCTGATCATTTTTGCACTTCTACTGCTATAATCAGTACCTAAGCACTGTTTTTTAGTCCAGCCTTTCCAGCCACTGGTAGGATTTCCCAATGCCTGCCACCTCATCCATCTGTCAATGGTATATCTCATTCAGGATCTTATCTTGCAAAGACACTTTCTTTGTTTGATCTTCTTTCCCTGTCTGCTGCTGGCCCTTCAGCCATTCTCTTAGCAGCTTATCTTTGGGTGTCATTTTATAGATTCACTCCTGGTTGCTCAGTGTTTCGTCCAAAACAATGGATTTAACACTGACAGACCCTGTTATTTGGCAATTGACTCATTGCCCAGGTCTTCCAGAAGGATGGCTGGTTCTATTTCTGTTTCCTTTCCTCGTAATCTTGAGGATTATGCTCTTTGTTGCTCTTGCCATCTGTTCTTGACACCTTGTCGATCAGATAGCTCTATCCCGCGCTTGTTTTTGATGATGCTTTTATGAGCAGTAAATGGTGTTCATATATTTTTTGAGTTACCCAAATGCATTCCTGGGGTGGCTCTTCATGCAACCCTCTTTTATCTGCTTGTAATGCTGGTCCCAGTAAACTTCATTGTCTTTCTTTGCTGCTCTTTGAAAATGTGCTTTCAAATCTCCTTGCTTCCTCCTTTCCTTGCTATTTTGGTTACTTTTCTTCGCCAGTTCCTTAAACCCCCCAGAACTTATTTCAAAAGAAGCAGTCAGTATCAGAACTTACCCACAATCCTTGAGGATGTAAGAGGCCATTGCCAGAATTTCTTTGATGATGCTCATCCCATCAATTCCTCCATCCAGGGCACCAAGGTCCTCAAAGCTATAAACCAAAGACATGTCTAAAAACCAAGTCATATCCTATTCTTATCTTTGTTCTTATCTTTGAATCACATTGAAGATAGTATTGATAATGTTGGTCTGATTTTTCCAATAAAAGAGATAAACAAGTCATACATGGAGACCTTTTCTCCAAACTTAGTACTTTGCTCTAGGTGTGGGACTGTCAGGTGTGGCTCTATTCAAAATCCAAGAAAGAAACCCTTAGACTCCATTTTTATAGAGAAAAGGACTTTTACTGAAATTGAAGTGGTAGCAACAGGACAAATGCAAGATCTGAAGCAAAAGGTGCGGAAATTACATATAGAAAGTTATCCCATGTCCCCACCCCCAACCATTCAAACTGGACATTCAATCTGAGGTGTGTATAATGTCATGTGAGTACATCTTCAGGTGGCGTGTCAGACATCTGGTATGCCAAGACGGTTGTCCTTGGCCTAGAAAAGATAAGTGGTTGTATTTGCACAGTAAGCAAGAAAACACCCCAAATTTACAATTCACACAACTTCAACCTCCAGCACCCTTCCCCCCATGTGGCCCAATTATTCCTTCCCCCTGTTTCTATGGCAGTCAGAAAGAGTCAAGCAGAAGAAAGAATCTTGGAGGATGACAGGGGCTAAATAAGAACAGGACTGATTAAAGAGAGATATGCTGAAATCTATTATTTGTATAATATTACAAAGAAAATGTTATAAAGTCCCTTGATGAATTATTTACAGTGGCAGTAACCGCAGCCCCTTTAGCCAAAAAGAACCCAAAATCCTACAATGCTTTGTTTAATCTAATAGATAATTGAATGGTTAACTGAAATATTCTTAGTCTCCTAGAATCTGAAATAGTTTTTTCAATCCTAAATCTCCATGTTAATAGATTTTGGAAAGAGCCAAGAGGACAACAAAGGATACTCATAAAGGAAACCTTGCTTCGTTTTTCAACGGCTAAAAGCAGAAATAAACTGCCTGGATTACAATTGTGATATCTAAGGAAGGTTTTTTTTTAAAAGAAAAAGAATCTTTCTAGGCAATTTTCTCCTTACCTCTTTGCCATGGTATAAAAAAAAAAAATCCAATTATCTATATGGAACCTAAAACCAGGAGGAGTCTGGTAGCACTTTTTCAGATGAACTAATTTTATTAAAAAGCATAAGCTTTTGTTGAGATTTTCTGACAGGAAAATAAATGTGCTAGCCTGAAAAAAATGCTTCAGATTCTTTCTGATTTTTGACTAAAATGGATTAATACAACTATCCTTCTACAATGTCTATATGTAATCTATTCTTCCTCCCATGCATTGTCAGAGGAAGGGAAAACATATCTGAATTCAGATTTGGGAGAGATTGCAGTTGCTGTTATTTCCTTAATAATGATAAGAGATTGTATTAATGGCAGGGCTTTCAAAATCACAGTCTTTGGCTTTAAAACTGCAGCAAAGAAAAAACAATACACAATGTGGAAAATAAAGAAAAGATGGGTATACCAGAGAATTTCTGCTGCCAAGTCACTCATATCTTCGTGAAAAATGTAAGGTGGATTACTGATGATAGTATCTACCAAACCCCAAGGCTGAAGGCATTCCCAAGAACCTACAATGAAGAAAGCATTAAAATGCTTTTTAGACATTCAAAGTAACAGGCAAGCATTTATTCCTTTATTTTAAAAACTACACAGTTGACCATGAAAAAGAGCTTTTAATATTCTTTTGAATTTTAAGCAATCCGGTTCTAAGCATAATCCTAGTGAGAGTCTATTTCAAGAACTGGAATCCAATAAGAAAAAACTGTAACAGGATTATTTTCACGTATCATATAATAGATCATATTGAAAATAAAAGAAATATCTATCCAAAAGAAAATTGCAAAATATAACGGAACAGCTCTAGTTGTTGAATTGAAAAGAGAATATATGGAAGGTATATTAATTTTACAAATAGAGGTAATCCCTGGGTTATGAATGTTCCCTTAATAAATGTTGGAAGTTCCGTGATAAGCACTCCTAGCGTTTATGAACAACTCCCAAAACTACAAATCTTGTAGCACCACAGTAGTTGTTCGCCCTTACGAACAGCTGCAGAGACTCTGAAACATTTGTCCGGCACATTGCCAGTAAAAATGGAGCTTCTGAGGGGCAGATCCTCCCCTGCGATGCTCCATTTGGGTGTCCAGAGATCTCACCTGGCACATTGCTGGCCAAAATGGAGCTTCTGAAACTCCATTTTGGCCAGCAATGTGTTAGGCGAGGCCTCTAGACACCCAAATGGAGCATCGCAGGGGAGGATCTGCCCCTTAGAAGCTCCACTTCCACTGGCAACATGCCAGGTGAGGCCTGCAGAGGCCTGAAAGGGGCACCGGAGGGGCACACACAGCTGAGAGGCTGGAGAGGAGACCACTTGCTAGATCTTCACAAGGTAAGTGACCCGGCGTGGCAGGTTGGGTGGGGGGAAGCAATTTTGGAGAGCATGAGGTATTTCAGTGCGTTCAGGAGGCCTTGGGTGATCTTAGGCAGGTGGCCTGTTCCATCACTAGGCCCCCATGGCCTTCCTCACCCTGAAATACCTCATGTGCACTTAACAAGTCTTGCATTCAATTAGGAGGGAGTGATCCTATTCAAGGTATGAGATTTACTCCTACGAACCCTTGGGGTACAAATGGAATGGGCAGGCATTCATAACTTGAGGACTACCTGTAATAACAATAATGATGATGGTGTATAAGTGATGATAATGTATAAACTGTACAAGTAATTTGATAAGCTACTCTTCTGGATTTGGTCTTTAAAACAATGAAGTAGCGATAGCACCATCAACACTTGGAACAGTTTCTTAAACAAGACGGGTGCTTCAGGAGGATCTTCAAGAAAAACTGGATGCATTCAAATACAGATTAGATTTTAATGAGCTGGAATTACACTTGAAAGCCTGCTTCACTCCCTCCATAACTGATTCTATGATATCTATAAAGTAGCTGATAACAATAAGAAGCTCAAGAAAAAAAACATTTAAAAGGAGAACATGACACATTTACAACTGGGACAGAAAATGCCTTTCATAAAGCCTAAAGCCATTAAGCATCCAAAAGGTAACACCAGGTAAAATGAGAATGGGAATTTCTAGAAATTAGAGGTGGATTGAAAAGGCCCTCTGTTATTGACTTAGAACAGGGGTCCCTAACCCCCAGGCTGCGCCCCACTACCAGGCCGTGACCTATTGGCACAGTTCCACACAAGCACATGTGTGTGCAGCCTGCCTGCTACTCACACAATTGAGCTGTGCATGTTACATGGGCAAAAGCACACTGCTCATGCAGCCCAGTTCCTCTCTCCCCCCGCAAGCCGCAAAGGTTGGGCACCATTGTCTTAGAAGAAGGAGTTGGGTGGCTAAGAAGTATGAAATATAAATATATACATACATGCATAGATGATAAATAGATAGATAGATAGATGGAAAAGGAAGGAAAGAAGAAAGGAAGGAAAGAAAGAAAGAAAAAAGAAAGAAAAAAAGAAAGGGAGGATGAATTAATTTCAGAAATTTCTTAATGCATATGTAGGTTGATGTAACAGATGATATTCCTCAAGCATATCATTCCAAAATTAGGGAGGGCTTTAAATTTAAGTGCTAGGATTGTGCAAATCATCACTCAACCAATTCAAATAGTGGATTCACTGATTTATTTTGAATGGTTGAGTGTGTTCTTGTGTCCAAAAGTTGATTATATTGATGCATTGATTTGAAGACACTCCATTGAATATATCTATTTGACTAAGATTCAGTTTGAGGGTTTGATTCATTCTAACTTTTGTTCAACTGATCTCTGATTTGAAGTTGCATTAAAGACCCCACCTCTTCCTGGCATGCTTCTTGTTCTGTTTCTTCCCATCTTCATCAATTTTAACATCAATTTTAATGTTAATATTTTTAAAAGGTTTTAAGTGTTATCTTGTTTTTAGTGATTGTTAGCCACCTAGATTTGCCTGTAGGTGATATGGGCGGCCTATAAGTTAAATAAATAAACAAAAGGTATTCATTCACATGCCAATGCTGTCCCTTCTGAATTGAAATTGAAGGATTGTGCATCTCTAGTAGCAAGCATTTACACTTGGGTATGCATTCAGAAATGAACTAGCAGCCAGAGAAGCCATTTATACATCACTTTCAAGATAAACTTCCATTGCTTAATCTCATTTATCAGCCTAATGTTTCTGTTCTGAGCCCACCACAATTTTTGAGCACATTTTATACTTACTAAATTGTATGTAAGAACTTCCCGTGCTCTAATTCCTTTCTTTAACAATGTACAATGCACACAAAAAATGTGCAGCCTGATCTTATAGTAGAAGTTATTGTTTAAAACATGTACCAAGTTAAGAGCACATACTGGGGAATAAAAAAATGTTTGGAGATTCAGAAGTCGTCATTTCATTTTGCAGTCATTGTGTGATTAAGTAGATTAAAGGCCTTCCCAGCTTTCTTGTACATTCTTGCAAGAGAGTGTTCTTCCCTCAAATCATTTACAATGGACAATTAAAAATATGAAGAGAACTTACATGAAGTTATATCATGGTGAAAGATATGGATTCTTTCCTGAAGATGTAACCTGTAGAGAGAAGATTCGACATAATACCTTTGATTTAGACACATCTCACTTATCACCTTATGATTAGTTTTAACAGTGGTCTCAATCATAGTAAATTAACATTTTGGTTGCATAATAACTCATACTGATTTCCATAGTACTGAATCAAAACACAACAACCTGAGGTTGCTGCAACCCATCAATTATGAACTTTTATTATGCAATGAATGTTGCACACATTACTGCAATCCCTGTTTTGAAACATGAGCCACTTTTGCTCCATTCCTTTCTTATGTGCAATATCTCTGATAGTAGTCTTAATATCAGATACTCATTTCTTTATTTAATGTATTATGCTGGCAGACAACAATTATGTTGGCAGACAAAAATTAAGAAAGACTAAAAATCAAAAGTCTAGAGACTAGCGTCTTTTTGTTGTGGATGTTCCGTGCGTGGGTATGTGTATCTACATATATGGAGGGAATTAGATTTCATATATATCCTAGCTATTTTTGTTCCGACCTTCCCTTCTTTTTTGTGCAATCACTGATAAAACTTATTCCATATTTCATAATAATCTGATTCCCTCTTGTTTTTCAATTCTAAGGTTAGCCTATCCAATTTTGCACCAGTCATTATTTTCCTTATTATCTCTCTTTCTGGTGGTATGATTTCATTCTTCCAATATTGTGCATATACCATTCTCTCCACTGTCAATATATGTATTATTAAATAAGTTATACCTTTCCTATAACCTTCTCTCATTATTCCTAAGAGAAATAATTCTGGCTTAAATGGAATATGCTCTCCCACCATTTGCTCCAACTCATGTCTGTATCAATCTCCAATATTTTCTTGCATAGTTACATTTTACAAGGAATTAGATTTATTCTTGATCATCTCCAAACAATTCAAACATTCTACTGTAGCTTTAGAACCATGAAGTCCTCAATTCACTCGCCCTGAAAATTTGCATAGCTGCACTATGCAGGAGCACATTCTATAATTCCAAAGCATCAAACTCAACTTTTCCTGAGATTTTTTTTCCTATTTGTAACCTGCCTACTATTTTTTTAAAATAATATCAACCATCTAATCCTGATAAAAGACACATCTGCTTTAAGAAATTGCACATAGGAGCTATGTTGCCCCCCAGTATGTCTCAAACCATCTTTCTGCCTTCCAAGCCGATGTACAACATTACTCCAGTGTAACTACCGTGTTTCTCATATAATAAGGCCGGGTCTTATTTTTTTTTGAGCCCCCAAAAAATGGCTAGGCCGTCTTTTCGGGGGTGACTTAATTCCCCCCCCCTTGCATCTTCGGGTGGGCGGCGATGGCTTGGATGTTGACCTTGGTGGTGGGGCACTTCGTATCGGGGTCAACCCAGGCAGCACCATATCCGGGTGTGCAACAAAAGTACTTCCTTACAGCAAGCCTCCCCCACCATCCCCCCCGCCATTTCGCATGTTTTAATATAGGCCTTAATTTGGAGGGAGGGGCTTAATTTCATTTCATGCCTATAAAACATGCTGGGACTTCCTATTGGGGGAGGCCATATTGTTGGAGAAACAGGGTATAAACTTAAGATTGGTATGACTGATGCTGGTGCAGGCCTATGCCAGACTTGCAGAATACGTTTGATTTGGATTGTTGAAAAAAACAAAAAGTTGTGCAAGCTCAGATCATTCTACCACTCTCCCAAGGTTATTGTGACCCTATTCAGCTCACTGAGGGAGCAAACAGGGGAGCAACCAAGTTTGGCAGATGATTTTTATTGATTGTACTCTTCTTCAGAAAAACAGGGAGAAAACTGCTCTTGGGGCCTGCAAAGCATGTGATATGTTTATTTATGCCATCAGTTGAGACTTTCAAGAAGAGATTGGACTGCCATTTGTCAGAAATGGTGTAGGGTCTCCTGCTTGGGCAGGGGGTTGGACTAGATGACCTACAAGATCCCTTCCAACTCTGATTATCTGTATGTGTATCTGTACTTCTATGAAGTCAACAAAATCGTTATATGGCTAAAAGCACAGCTAACTGCACGACTAAAAAAAGGGGGGGAAAGGCCTAGTGGCAAAACGATCCACTTTCCAGCTTATCTGTGCATTCCTGAATAGGACATAGGGACCATTGACAGAGAAGCATCAAGAACCCTTCCAATCCAAAAGACTGAAGGTCTGAGGTCATGGACAGATAGATAGAGGAACATGACATGATGACTCAAGCCTAACAAGAAGAATTCCTATACTCAGAAGCTCAAAAATAAATGGCAGGGCCTTACTGTTGTTAATGAAGAGCAGCTGCAGACTAAGGAAGATGATTCTGCAAAGGGAAGATTCCTACCTGTCTGCTCAACTGGAAGCAATGACAGGTGGTCATCATAAATGACAAGTTCCCTTCTGAGAAAGACTGAAGCAACAATCTGTTTGTCAGAAGCTGTCAAAAGAAGTATGCTGCCTTTCTGTGGCATACCTTCAGAAGGTTACGGAAAGGCTCCCAAGATGTTTTAAGGCCACAGGCAAATATTCCTTTCTAGAAATCTATATGGGAATGCATGACATAACCAGACACACTCTTGTAGATACCGTAGGGCAGGGGTCCCCAACCACTGGGCCCCGGACCGGTACCGGTCCGTGGAACATTTTCTACCGGGCCGCCGGTTTGCTGGGTGCCGCCATCTTGTTTTGATGAGAAAGTGCTTCCGGTGAGCTTTTTCGGTTGGGAAGCGGCGTTTGGGTTCTGAAGGAATCCTCACGCCTTAGTTTCATCGAAGGTGGGGGGCGGCTTCGAACAAAATTAAGACGCGAGGATTCTTTCAGCACCCAAGGCAAGGCGAGCCGAGCGACCGTCCTGAAGCCGTCCCGAAGCCCATCGACAAAGATACAAAGGAAGAGTTGAAGGTGGCGGGGAGAAGCGGGGGACGGCTGGCTGGCCGGTCGCTCGGCTCGCCTTGCCATGCGTGCTGATGCCGGTACTGGGCCGCGGATCATTTTGTGATGCCGGTACCGGGCCGTGGCACAAAAAAGGTTGGGGGCCACTGCCGTAGGGGACTATAATGCACTGAAGAAAATGGAACACAAATGATGTTTTCTTCACTTTTTTTGATTGAGGAACATGGCCCAGGAAAAGAGAGACTACTGGAAATGAACACATGGATACACAGTTGGTGCCAATGGAAATTGTTTCAATTTGCTTGTAAAGACACTTTTCTAAAATGAGGATCTTCTAACAAATGTGGGTTACACTTGAAAAAAACTGGGAAGAATATGTTCAAAAGGCACCTGACAAATCTGATTTAAATTGGATCTGGGTGCTAGAAAATAGAATCCAGACCCTCAGTGGGTACATAGGATGTTTGATTACATGCTATCAAGTTGGTGATGGCTATTATAAAATCTTAGATAGATTTTCTTCATTTTCTTCTGTAACCTGGTCTTCCAACAGTGCATTCATTGCCACTGTAAATCAGTCTACCCACATTGTTTCTGGTCATTTTCTTTGCTTTCCTTCAAACATGATCCAATATAACCCTTCTATTTTGCTTCACTTCAAGATTAGTTAGTAGCCTCTCCACAAGGCATGGATAATCTAATATCAGATATGCCTTTGAAGTAAACTGTGGTCAGTTGATGATCACTAGTCTCCCTCACATGGACTTCAATGTCTGTAAACAGCTTACTCTTGTTTTGTGTAACACACATATAATCTTAAAAAATTAAACTGCTAGAATTTCTTGCCTGGTATGTAAAATGATATATACCAGTTTCTTCACCTCTGAAAATATGGAGGTTACATTTATAGATCAGGGAGACCAGTTGTGAGCTTCCCTTATTTTTTATTTATTTATTTTGATGTCTCTAGAGGGCCAGACTGAGTCATTTATATGATAAAACCTCAAAAAGAAAACTCAGGTTACAGTAGCTTTAGGACGGGGGTGTCAAACCCACGGTGTCACAGTGGCGTCATGTAATGTTTTGGGACTCCCCCCCCTTTTGTTAAACCAGGGAAGAGTGTGACCAGCGCATGACGCATCTGGCCCGTGGGCCGCGAGTTTGACAGCCCTGCTTTAGGATGATTTAAATTTTCTAGCTTCACAGGATAAATGATTGTCTAAGAGGATATCTACTCATAATGATGTTAGAATGATTGTATTCTAGTCCCAATGCTTCTAAATTCTATGTCAATGATATTCTAGGATTCCTTCAGACACTCATATGCCAAATATCCATGATAAATGTATTAATATCCTTTTACATGCTGTCATTATTGTTCTAATGACATATTCTCAAATAGGCTGAGGAGACTGTTGTGAAAACTAAACACCTACTGTGTTCTTAATCCTTTAAACATCAATAAAACAAAATCTAACATTTACTTTAAAAAAGCGTGGAATATAAATGGCAGTTAAATGGGGAGCCTATTGAATAAGTTAATTTGTTTACTCATTTAGGAGTGTTTTCTTTAACCAACCCATAGCTGTGAGTAAATCATTTAAAAATAAATTCAGCAAGGGCCAAGACAAGCACTAAAATATAATGTAAACTATTTAATTATAATTGATTAGGTATCTTGAGCCCCTGAACGCATTCAGACCACAAATAGTCCCAACGACGACTTATGGTGCAGACTTTTGGGTTGTTGATCAAGTTCGTGTTTTTTAAGAAGCAAACTGGGAACTGATAAGAACATGTCAACCCCTGTAGTCAGAGTAGAAACAGGTATCCATTCCATACATATTCAATAATTAAAGTTTTCACACACTGGCAGAAGATCCATTCTATGGATCTTTATAGATTAAATATGTTTAATGGATTAGTTAAGGATGGTTCCGCTCCATTCCTGGATAAGCTGATTTACCAAAGTTTATTCACAGCATTGGTTTTCCACCTAGTATTTACTCTCAACTACCTCCCAGGCAAGAGACATTTTTAAACAGAGTCCTAGATATCAATGTCAAACTGGCATGGAATTATTAGTAAAAAAAAATTAAGATTCTTCCATTGGTTGGCAAATAATAA